TACTCCAAATGTGGTAGGACAAAAGCTTTGTAGAGTCGAAGTAATGTTTTTGTATCTTTGCTACTGAGGTTCCGAAAGATGAGGTACAAAACTGCATAAGCAGACTTGGTGACTTTATCAAAATGATCTGTGAACTTGAGGTTATCATTGATAATCACCCCAAGGTCTCTTATGGTGCGGCAGGTTTTTAGTACAGTACCATTTACCTCATAAATTCCTGCGGCACCTTCACCAATATGGAATACTGAACATTTGTCGAGGTTTACAGACAGCCCCCACATGGCAGCCCACTCGGTCAGATTCACTATCGAATTTTTTAAAGCAGATTGAACCGTGTTTTTGTTATGAGGATTGTAAGAAGCATAAACTTTAATATCATCCGCGTACATTTGAACCTTGATCTCAGGAGACGTTTTGATAAAAGATGGGAGATCCATCGTATAGATGAGAAACATCAACGGTGATAAGACAGTCCCTTGAGGTACGCCGCTACGGCACCAGTATTTTACCTGAGAAGTGGTGCCCAACCCTTACTGTCATATGTCGCTGGCACAGGTAGGACTCAAACCATTTCAAAAGCGACCCGTTGATACCCAGAAATTTCAACTTCAGCAGCAACTTCGAATGACAGACTCGATCGAAAGCCTTAGATAGGTCTATGTACACAACGTCAATAGCTTCGCCTTTGTTTCGGGCCAGGGACCAGTCAAAGATGCTGTCTAGAAGGTTAGAGGAGGTTGACGCTCCTTTGAGGAATCCATGTTTTTGGGGGTTTGTGGGTCCGATTTTTGAGAAAGGCGCGAGTTTTCGACATTCAAACGTTATAACTTTCTTCATAATCAACTTTTTGCAGATGTCCAAGGCTAATTAGAAACTAGAAGATTAGAGCTTACGAATAAGGAAGGAGAAGGGTGCTGGAACTTTTTAAAATAATCACTCGCTCAAAAAATAGTCCCGTTGTTCCGTTTTTTCCACCTTGATTTTTTTCAAGCCATTTTCCTGGACCGCGACTATGCAGTCTTCAAAGGCCCATAACTTCCTTCAAAATTAATGTGATGAGAAGCGGTAAAGACTGTTGGAATCTACTTGGAGAGTACTTCATTGAGAAGTTTGAAGTTTTCCTGGAATTCTCTCTTACTGCCTCAATTTTCCTAAGGGGTTCCAGAATTCAATTCAGCAAGTTCGCTACACTTTGTTCCGGTTAAATTTGGTTTAAAAGCATCAAATTTGAAGACGGTGCTAGTATCCTGACTGAAATGCAATGTACTGTCATATGGTACTCTTGTTTCACTCCCCCATTAAGTGCTCTACACTTTTTTGTTCTCCTTGGGATTTCAGGAATGTTCGATCATCGAAGACAGACCATGTTTTTGCACTACGCTGTAACAAAGTTTTTGGCTATTGTAATCTTGATCTATGCTGTCGAGCGAAAGCGCCGTCCGTGTATTAAGGATAATAATGGCTGATAGTGAGACTTATAATGCTCTGCATGCTCTAATGCTCCCATGGAGCTCTTGTCTGTGTGACTCTCCGACAGCTGCACGGTGCAGAGCTCCTGGAGAACATTAGAGCGTGAAGTGCACTGCGGACACTGCACTTTTCAAGCCGTCTTGCAGCCCCGTCTCTCTGGATACGACCCCCTTCGTTTCGTGCGCATACGATCCTCGTTTGTTCTTTTGGCATGGGCGTTGAAGCCCTGCCTCGCAAGGCTCATCAGGAAATGCTCTGGGTTCCATGTACTTTAGAAGGAGATCTAGATGTATCGATAGAGTCTTGAGCGCTAATTACAAATATGGCACCAAAGGTGCTTCGTAAATTCGCTAAGGAAGTTATCAGCCTTCAAAGTTGGCAATAAACGATGCGTCAAACGGAGTCGAGCCACCATTCACCTTTTTTAGAACAAGTTCCAGGCAAAAAGCAACCGTTTCCACATAGATTGTAAGTCTCACAAGAGGTAAGGTACCTGGTTAGTCCTGGAGTGTGCCTTGAATTGCCCTGATATCCCATGCTCGGTATATTTTTCGTTACAGATGTGCTCCGTCTACTTACTATGTTTGAGATGCTAAAGTTATCAAAGTTATTGGAGTGTCTGTTTTTTTTTCATGTTTTAAACTCACACGAGCATTTTCCAAGTTATAATCTATACGGATCACGCAGCAGGGTCAACCCTACGTTGTTACGAGTAACAACGGGGGGGTCGTACCTGGTTGAGTTTGTAGGAGGGGGGTCGTACCCACTTTAGTTGCTCGAAATCAGGGGTGGGATTGAGGAGAAACTAAGATTTCGTGGGTAGTAGGTTGTGCGAGTAGAGGGCGCGCAAGATAAAAATTTGCCGTTTCAGCCGGTGTATATACCCCCCTAGAAAAGGAAACAGTGAGATTATAGGTAGAAATAGGGTAAATTGGTTGAAAATTTAGGGAATTGTGGGGAATTATGGGAAAAGGAAAATTTTTACTGTTTCAGAGGGAGTATATACCCCCCGCTCGACGGCATTTTTGGAGGAAAAAGTGGGCGGAGTTTTGAGGGTTGAGTGGTAGTGGAAGTTAATGTTATAGAGAGGAATATGGTGGTTGAGGGTCGAGAAGGGGGTCGTACCAAATCCACCTTGGGGGAGGGGGGTCGTAAAAAATTTTCGAATAGTAACAACGATAGGGTTGACCCTGCTTCACAGGCATATTATGAGTACGGGCGTTTTAGCCCAATACGATGCAGTCACAGGAGAAGCACCTGCAGATAAATTAATAGCGCAAGAATGATGAACATCTTTAATTATTTAGTTTCCGAATTGTTTGGCGCCAGTATAAATTGAACACTGGCACAACCAGGAACTGATGAACGGCTTGCTGTATCTGGTCCTATAATGACGAAAGCAGGGTGAAAATCGTGTCGAGTACGTGGTCGCAGAGGTACGACCCCCCCCCGAAATCGAGATCCTGGCACGACCCCCTCTAACAGAGCAAATTAATTCAATTAAAATAAATCCTGCAAAACAAATCAAAAAAAATTCTGCAAAATAATGCTAAGGACGCTTCATCTTGTCATCTATGCACGTCTTCCATCGCTGCATACTTTTGTGTACATACTGAAATATCGACTCGAGGAAAGAGGCATTAACTTTGTGTGACCTCAAGGCGAGGTTCGTTCAGAAACGCACAGAAATCCTGAAGACACGGGGTTGCGATTCAATCTTGATTCTTGCTTGAGTATATCAAAACAGCCGAGTGTATCAAAGGCCGATTCAACGGCAGCTGCGGCGCGATTGTCACTGGGTCAGATTTGCCGAAATTTCAAAAAAAACGTCCGAATCTACACCCTCGATGAAAAGGTTGCATTCCTCCATTTCACAACCTTTGAAGCAGCTTGAGGTAGAGTTAGATAGAGCTGGATTTCGCGTTTCCAACAAGCATGAAATTGCTCTGGAAGCCTTCCTTGCAGAAAGATAGGGTCTCTCAAATTTCGTCGAGTAAATGTCGAGGAGGCCGAAATTTTCACGCGAGTTTTTGCCACTTCAAGAGCAATATATCTCTTATATTGTAAGATCCTGAAAAAGGGAAGATAGTTTTGGAAAGCGGAAGGTTTGCGCTTCCTGATGGTCTGTTTAGTTTTCTTCTACAGCTTTTTGGTTGAAGAGATAATTGCGTCGAGGATCTATCGAGGTCGGATCCGGCCACCTGGAAATCCGCTCCCTCATTCACCATTGCAAGTGTGACTCGTTGGCAACACTCGGAATGTGTCTAGAACAATATCTTTGAACGCAAACAATAAGAATAGGAGCAATCGTCATCATCCGATTTGGTATTGGTATAAGCCATGCATCCCTCCTCCACTCACAGTTGCAGAATCGATTGAAAGGTGTTATATGATGGGGACCTTCGAACGAAACTGTATTGTAGTAGACATAGTGTGTTGTGCTATTCCTGTAACCTAAAAAACAACTTCATTTGCCCAGCGCTTTTTCTTCACGGTTGTCGTTTTTCCGACAGGGTCCCTAACAACAGCGTCATTCTCAGCGAGGTATTAAGGGAGAAGGAGCGAGCGATAGGCAGAGGAGGTGCCTTTGCAGCGCGTGCGCACATGTGGCAGTCTTCTTTGCGGGGATGCACTTTCATTCTTTGTACTGCCTTCAAATACGCCCTTCTCATGAAGGTGGAGGAATGGAGCGACTGAACCTGCAAGAAAATTTAATATCATGTTTTTTTTCGGATGTTTTCATTTTCTGCTGCGCTATACCCTATTACCTATCTGCACCATGATACCACTTCTGTTACTGACCCCCAAGAGTACGACCCCCCATGGACCAGCCCAACAGGTACGACCCCCCTGTCGAGGATTTCCTCGACCGATATTCACCCTGTGACAGATACATTTTGAGCTAAGATGCGTCGCAACCGGACTTTATACGAAGAGACGTTCCGTGTTTTTACTGTAGGATTGAAGTTATACGAACTCATTTTGTGCCAGATTGACGCTAGAATTGACACTTTTGACACTAGAATTAGAGGGGCTTTAAGGCGGAATTGCAATGCAGTTGATGGCTGTAAGTGGTGGGGATGACAGATTCATGACATTATCTATGCCATCGACCATTTAAAGGAGCTTTATAGGAGGGTCTTCCAGGGATTTGGGGGGAGCTGTAAGTGCTGAACTTGGCAAAGTTTTTGCGTGGCGCTGGCTTGTGAGTCCTTTTTCTGATCAATGAATCACAGAGTGGATCCTACCTTCCAGAGGAGCAAGTGTGTACAGCAGTGGTTCCTTCGAAACACTCGTTATCATTCTTTTGGCTGTTGACATCACGTGTTATCAGGCCGGAACGGACAAAAAGAGCTGATTGAGGGAAGGTGGATCGCGCCATGTTCTGCTAACTATTTCTTCAAAATCTCGTCATATTGAATGGTAAAAATGAATGGATGGTTTCAAAATCCGCGTTTTTAACAGAGAGTTGTACGGGGACATTCCAAGAATTCTCTGCGGAAGATAAAAGCCAAGATGACCCGTACACTTTCACCATGTTTATTGTCAACACAAACAGATAAAAGTGCGTTTGGCAAGAAATAACTTATTATGCAGAGATTACTCATACTAACGACGAGTTCCATCTTCGAAGAAGATACCACCATCAATAGCGCAATACTTGGGACAAATGCCCGGTTCGCCTGGACGTCCAGGTGGTCCGGGAGGTCCAGGATGCCCGGGACTGCCATCCAGTCCTGGTTGGCCATCACTTCCATCTGGACCTTTCTCACCTTGTTTGCCTAAATTGAAATTTATATCTGATTTTGAGAATATGTTTTCTTGTTCAGTAAGTACCTGGAGTTCCGGGAGGTCCTTGAAGACCAGGGCTACCAGGCAGTCCTTCAGGTCCCGGGTCTCCAGGTGGTCCCTGATCGCCAGGAGAAACTGGTTCACACTCGGATCTTGCAGCCTCCTTGTTTTCGCCGGCTTTCCAGGATTCCAGGAGCTGCTGTGGGCCTTTGGCTCTGGGCTGAAGCCGCGCCCATCTTGGCCAGGAGGCCAGCCTGAACCATACTCCCAGATTCTCTGCTTCTCCGGTTTCCCCGGTGAATCTCGGTGGTCCACTGGCAATTTTTTTTTCCTGACATGGCGGGCGTGAGACGGTTGCACACGTGATTACTCGCGGTGTGGTGGCAGCCCTGGCACCCCGGGTAGGCCAGGAGCGCCCGGTCGTCCAGGTCTGCCCGGCTTCCCTGGTGGTCCGGGAGGACCAGGAGGCCCTGGTCGACAGCAGGATTCACATCCTCCGTTCGCGTTCTCTTCGAAGGTAGCTGTTGCATGACGAGACGTTCTGTTGCCGAAATGGGCCTGCTTCAGATTGATCACGTCACCCCAGACGGAGTTCGTTGACATCTAAACTATATTTTGAGGGAAATGCAAGTAGCAACATCAAAAACAGTGGAACCATACCTTACACAACGATGCCTCCTTATGAAGCGACTTTTTCACATAGTGCACATAATTGTACACTACCGGTAGTGTGACACAGACCGAAGTACGGCCACCACTGAGAATCCTACAGCGGCATAGGCGACGAACCGATAGGCCTTGATACGATGGTCAATGACGTCCATTGGTCGACGCGCACCACCGCCATTTTAGCCGACCACCTTTATATAGCTGCTAGCTTGAGCGTACCGTTGCGCATTCTTAGCGTCTCGTTTCCCGCCCCAATCTAGCGCAAAAAAGACGGCCCAGAGTCATACGTGGCTAGGGATATCTCTTGAGGTATTGGGAGATCTAGCAGATCTCCTCATGGAGTTTACATAAGTAGCCCTCGGATAATCGAATTAGAAGATAAGTATTCACATATGTCCCGCGATAATATGAGCAAGGGAGGAGGTAGCGCAGCGGCAAGTGGCTGGCTATCCACATTCACGGCTTGAAGGCCAAATTCACGGATCGAACCTCGCCGAGGCCAATCAAACCTTCCAGCTCTCGGATCACTTATTTGGTGCCAGACTTGTTCGGAAGGGAAAACACTGTCCTGTAGATCGGTTAGCCTCCTCGAGAGATTATGTGGGCGATACCGCACTCAAGTTTCTTTATGGTCTGAATGGAAGTTTAATGCACGGCTCATCCCAAAAAGGAGCGGCAGGCAGCGCTGAACTGTCTACCCTCAATTTCGATGACATAACAGAGCTCAAGATATCGGCACTGTTCATTCTAACTTGGAGTGCGCCACACATTCGAAAACCACCCAAAACTTAATTGGATTTGGAAGAGTTATCATTTACAGGAGTGGGCCGAAGTGTAGAAGAAACAGATTCTTTTCAAATTTTCTAGCTGGGCAGAGCTCACTGACTGAGGCTAAATACACATTTCTCGGCAAATCTCGGTCAGTTTTGACTCAGAGGTTGAAAAACCCGAAAGTTCTTTAGTCACCCCCACAAAAGTAGACTACAAGAACCGATTCATGCTAAATTAAAAATTCAGCTCATAGAAACGCGATGCATTTTATTTAGAAGTTGAAAGGTTGATTGCATCCAACAAAAAGCCTCCTTCTGGATTTTTCAAGTGCACTGACTCTTTTCGTCACGAATCAAAGCGTTCCCCATCGCCCATAAAAAATGGGACGGAAAGCAATGATCTAGCGTTCTTGCCATGAGCCACGCCTTTAAATTTATTCAGGGCGCAATTGTATAACAAGAAATTGTTTTGCCTGTATAATGAGTAGATATCGGCGAAAAGGAATGTTTATCCTGGCTGGGACGTCTGCGTAAGAAGTAGAAGGGCTAAGCTTCGACTACATAGTTATGAAATTTCGGAGAATCTTTTTGACCATCTTTTCAGGTGACAGCGGTACTAGACCCCTCTGATTCCAACCCAGGCTTCATGTGACACGATACCCAAACACTTCCCAGAGCAGTATCCCCCTTCAGAGACACAGATTCTGTCCAGCCTCGTCATTATAGAGCACCTTGAAATAAGTAGTACTCGAAATTTATTTTTATTTTGTAAATAAATTGGAACAAAGCATCATTCACGCAGCGCTGCGACACGGGAACACGCTACATCCTGGATGAACTGTATCGAAACATGCTGCGTTCCAAATCGTAAAAAAATGCACTCATCACCACCCAGCCTAGTCAATCTCGTTCCATTAACGGCGCGAAACGCTTTTGTTCACCGTCCGAAATGCAATGCTTTTCCACCTCATCAGTGAGCTAAGGGGGAACAGGGAAATGGCCAAATGCAATAAAGGGGTCATCTGAGATAGAGGAGGCTCCGCTCAAGCTCTGTTCCGGAGGAACTTTCTGTTGCGGTTCTTTCTGTTCGGATGATCGTATCAAATGCAGAAATCAGCATGAGTTCAGGTGATGAATCCTTTTGGTGGGTAGTATATGTAGAGATGTGCGATGTTCCGTTCTTGCGGCTCTGAAGTGCACAATAAGGGCTCTGGAACCTTGCGAAAAGAGTCAGGGAACCGTTAGCCTTGGCATTTACGAGGATTATATTTCATCATCACTGTTGTCCCACTTCACACCAACAGTTTTCATGTTCTTTGGGGCAAGACAGAGATCAGCTTGATCCCAGGCCGGCTGCACCACGCAGAAATCCGTAATGAAAAGTAGGAAGTTTAAATAAAGCTGATATAACTGGAGTCTTCGAGGGGGGGGAGGGAGGACTACCACCTTTCAGCAGTGCACATCGTTTCTGGGGATTCTTCATCAATTACTTCGCTAACAAGGCTGCAGTCATTTAGGACTTATAAAGTCTTTCAGGACGGGTCTTTTGCACCATTCTGTTGTGTACGGCACACAGAATCAAGCTTTATTTCGCTGAATGGAACTGCCCCGAGAATTCGACAGAGGGGAATCAAAACTTCTCCCAGAGCAAAACCTCACAGTTTTTAACGCACTGACAAATAAATGGCAACCGCTCTAATTGTGTTTCGAAAACTCTTTGGCCGTACACAATATTCAGGAGTGTTGAACACAAGATATTGAATAAATAGGAAACAAGAATTGGATGAACTGTAGAGTCAGCTATCATAGGGGATTAGTTTTAAGGAACCTTTTCTCACCTCTTTTCAGGATTCCTGATACCGCCGAAAATGAACATCGGCCGCAATGGTCCCAACTACTCTTACTCCAGCAAGATGATATGAAATGAAAGTCTCAAAATGGTCCAGAAATTCCAGATGATCCTCTCCAATGAATCTAACGTGAACCTAGTCTTGTGGGGAGCATTGCTTCCGTCTAGAGCTTAAGTTTCAAAGGGTGCAACTGTTTTTTCATCTCATTACCCTCTGAAAACTTTTATCAGGTTTATTCAATAACCAACGGAAAGCGTCAATCGTCTTGCCTTTTTAAACATCGATCGGGGGCTTTTCTTCATCGGTAGTAAAGCGCAGAGACTTCGAACAGGTTTCACTGACCAGTGTTACGTCAGCCGTGTTTTTTAGTGGCGACGTCAATTACAAGCGCAGATCCTTCATTAAGCAACCAAGGCCCAACCAAGGGAAGGTTTCGGGGGAACTATTCGATCAGTTCCGCAGTTCATAGCCCTATTATTAGACTACTTAATAAAAACTGTGGAACCATACAAACATTGCATAACAATAATCGTCCTCGGTGGCAGTCCACTGAAAAATACGGTAATGGGATGAAGGAAGGCTGCCGATAGGCTCAGGTGATCTGCTGGTTGCCTTTTCCTTCCTGTGTACCTGAGACTTCTCCCCTTCTTCCCCGGTTCAACTAGTCAACAGGGTAGATCGCTCGAAACAAGGTACTCACAAAGCCCATCACAAGTGCAACCTATAGTTGCGTGCGTCGTGGCGCAGGTCCAGTGCTTTTATAATAACTATCAACACTGAGCTATTAATTGCATCTTTGAAAAATTGCCAAAAAAATTTATTGATTGGAAGCATTATATTACATATAATTTTCATGGTACATGTTTTACAACTTACACAGCTCAAATTGAAAAGTAGTAGGTGCCAGAAAGAATTATTTAACATCAATTGACCAGCGTCCATGTGACTATGCTCGTAGGGGAATGATCTTCCCTAACATCTGGGACTCTAGGGAGGAGTAGGCAAGGAGGAGGAGAAATTAGAGAGGAGATCTCCCCTACGAGCATAGTCACATGGACGCTGGTCAATTGATGTTAAATAATTCTTTCTGGCACCTACTACTTTTCAATTTGAGCTGTGTAAGTTGTAAAACATGTACCATGAAAATTATATGTAATATAATGCTTCCAATCAATAAATTTTTTTGGCAATTTTTCAAAGATGCAATTAATAGCTCAGTGTTGATAGTTATTATAAAAGCACTGGACCTGCGCCACGACGCACGCAACTATAGGTTGCACTTGTGATGGGCTTTGTGAGTACCTTGTTCCGCAGCGGGATCTACGCCTGTTTGAACTAGTTGACTGGGGGAAGGGGAGAAAGTCTGGTGGGTGCATAGGAAGGAGCCAAGGCAACCACAGATACCCTGATATGCACAAGCTTCGCTTACATTCGCCATTACCGTATTTATTTCAGTGGTAGCCACAGAGGACGATAATTGTTATGCAATGTTTGTATGGTTCACAGTTTTTATTAAGTAGTCTAATAATAGGGCTATGAACTGCGGAACTGATCGAATAGTTCCCCCGAAACCTTCCCTTGGTTGGGCCTTGGTTGCTTAATGAAGGATCTGCGCTTGTAATTGAAGTCGCCACTAAAAAACACGGCTGACGTAACACTGGTCAGTGAAACCTGTTCGAAGTCTCTGCGCTTTACTACCGATGAAGAAAGCTCCCGATCGATGTTTAAAAAGGCAAGAGGGAATTGAGCTTTCCAGTTGGATTATTGATAAACTGATAAAAAGTTTCAGAGGGTAATGAGATGAAAAACAGTTGCAACCCATTTGATATGACTTAGCTCTTGCGGAAGCAAATGCTCGCCACAGACTAGTGTTCACGTTAGATTTATATTTTTTGAAGGATATTGGAATTTTGGACCATTTGAGCACTTTCATTTCATATCATCTTGCTGAGTAGAGATAAGTTGGGGGACATTGGGAGCCGATGTTCATTTTCGGCGGTATCAGGAATCCTGAAAAGAGGTGAGAAAAGGTCTTTAAAACTATCCCCTATGATAGTTGACTCTACAGTTCATCCAATTCTTGTTTCCTATTTATTCAATATCTTGTGTTCAACACTCCTGAATATTGTGTACGGCCAAAGATTTTTCGAAACACAATTAGAGCGGTTGCCATTTATTTGTCAGTGCGTAAAAACTGTGAGGTTTTGCTCTGGGAAAGTTTTGATTCCCTCTGTCGAATTCTCGGGGCAGTTCCATTCAGCGAAATAAAGCTTGATTCTGTGTGCCGTACACAAACAGAATGGTGCGCAAAGACCGTCCTGAAAGACTTTATAAGTCCTAAATGACTGCAGCCTTGTTAGCGAAGTAATTGATGAAGAATCCCCAGAAACGATGTGCACTGCTGAAAGTGGTAGTCCTCCCTCCCCCCCCCGAAAGACTCCATTATATCAGCTTTATTTAAACTTTCTACTTTTCATTACGGATTTCTGCGTGGTGCAGCCGGCCTGGGATCAAGCTGATCTCTTTTTCTTGCCCAAAACATGAAACTGTTGGTGTGAAGTGGGACACACAGTGATGATGAAATATAATCCTCGTAAATGCCAAAGGCATAACGGTTCCCTGACTCTTTTCGCAAGGTTCCAGAGCCCTTATTGTGCAGCATTTCAGCCCGCAAGAACGGAACATCTGGCACATCTCTACATATACTACCACCAAAAGGATTCATCACCTGAACTCATGCTGATTTCTGCATTTGATACGATCATCCGAAACAGAAGAACCGCAGCAGAAAGTTCCTCCGGAACAGAGCTTGAGCCTCCTCTATCTCAGATGACCCCTTTATTGCATTTGGCCATTTCCCTGTTCCCCCTTAGCTCACTGATGAGGTGGAAAAGCATTGCATTTCGGACGGTGAACAAAAGCGTTTCGCGCCGTTAATGGAACGAGATTGACTAGGCTGGGTGGTGATGAGTGCATTTTTTTACGATTTGGAACGCAGCATGTTTCGATACAGTTCATCCAGGATGTAGCGTGTTCCCGTGTCGCAGCGCTGCGTGAATGATGCTTTGTTCCAATTTATTTACAAAATAAAAATAAATTCTACAAAATAAAAATAAATTCATAGGTACTACTTATTCAAGGTGCTCTATAATGAAGAGGCTGGACAGAATCTGTGTCTCTGAAGGTGGATACTGCTCTGGGAAGTGTTTGGGTATCGTGTCACATGAAGCCTGGGTTGGAATCAGAGGGGTCTAGTACCGCTGTCACCTGAAAAGATGGTCTAAGGAGATGCCCGATACTCATTACTATGCCAGCCGAGCCTTTTATCCCTTCGTTACTTCTTAGCAAACGTCCCTAACGAGGATAAACATTGCCTTTTGTGGCTAGTATCGTACGTCATTATACAGGCAAAACAATTCTTGTTATACAATTGCGCCCTGAATAAATTTAAAGGCGTGGCTCATGGCAAGAACGCTAGATCATTGCTTTCCGTCCCATTTTTTATGGACGATGGGGAACGCTTTGATTCGTGACGAAAAAAGAGTCAGTGCACTTGAAAATCCAGAAGGATGGCTTGTTTTGCTTTGGATGCGATCAAGCCTTCATCTCTAATAAATGGCATCGCTTTCTAGAACTGAATATTTAATTAGCATAATCGGTTCTTGTAGTCTACTTTTGTGGGGGTGACTAAGAGAACTTTCGGGTTTTTCAACCTCTGAGTCAAAACTGACCGAGATTTGCCGAGAAATGTGTCTATTTCGCCTCAGTCAGTGAGCTCTGCCCAGCTAGAAAATTTAAAAAGAATCTGTTCCTTCTACACTTCAGCCCATTCCTGTAAATGATAACTCTTCCAAATCCATCTAAGTTTTGGGTGGTTTTCGAATGTGTGGCGCACTCCAAGTTAGAATGAACAATGCCGATATCTTGAGCTCGGTTATGTTATCGAAATTGAGGGTAGACAGTTCAGCGCTGCCTGCCGCTCCTTTTTGGGATGAGCCGTGCGTTAAACTTCCATTCAGACCATAAAGAAACTTGAGTGCGGTATCGCCCACATAATCTCTCGTGGAGGCTAACCGATCTACAGGATAGTGTTTTCCCTTCCAAACAAGTCTGGCACCAAATAAGTGATCCGAGAGCTGGAAGGTTTGATTGGCCTCGGCGAGGTTCGATCCGTGATAAAATGTGGATAGCCAGCTCCACTTGCCGCTGGTATCCTTCCCCCCTTGATATTATGGACATATTGAATACCATCCTCTAATTCGATTACACGCGAACTAACGTTATGTAAACATCCATTGAGAGAACACTGCCTAGATCTCCCAATAACCTCAAGAGATATCCCTAGCCACGTATTGACTCTGGGCTGTCCTTTTTTTGCGATAGATTGGGGCGGGAAACGAGACGCTAAGAATGCGCAACCGTACGCTCGAGCTAGCAGCTATATAAAGGTGGTCGGCTAAAATGGCGGTGGTGCACGTCTACCAATGGACGTCATTGACCATCGTATCAAGGCCTATCGGTTCGTCGCCTATGCCGCTGTAGGATTCTCAGTGGTGGCCGTACTCTCTGTTTGTGTCACACTGCCGGTAGTGTACAATTATGTGCACTATGTGAAAAAGTCGCTTCATAAGGAGGCATCGTTGTGTAAGGTATGGTTCCACTGTTTTTGATGTTGCTACTTGCATTTCCCTCAAAATATAGTTTAGATGTCAACGAACTCCGTCTGGGGTGACGTGATCAATCTGAAGCAGGCCCATTTCGGCAACAGAACGTCTCGTCATGCAACAGCTACCTTCGAAGAGAACGCGAACGGAGGATGTGAATCCTGTTGTCGACCAGGGCCTCCTGGTCCTCCCGGACCACCAGGGAAGCCGGGCAGACCTGGACGACCGGGCGCTCCTGGCCTACCCGGGGTGCCAGGGCTGCCACCACCGAAACACGTGTGACTGTCTCCGCGCCGCCATGTCAGGAATGTCCAGTGGGACCACCGGGATCACCGGGGAAACCGGGTGAACCAGGAGATCCTGGAGAGGATGGTCAGGCTGTGCCTCCAGAGTCAGACACGGGGCCGGTCAGCCAGGAACCAAAGGCCGCACCGGAGGTCTCCTGGTAATGCCTGGAAAGCCTGGCCGAACAAGGAAGGGCGAAGATCCCGCATGTGAACCAGTTTCTCCTGGCGATCAGGGACCACCTGGAGACCCGGGACCTGAAGGACTGCCTGGTAGCCCTGGTCTTCAAGGACCTCCCGGAACTCCAGGTACTTACTGAACAAGAAAGCATATTCTCAAAATCAGATATAAATTCAATTTAGGCAAACAAGGTGAGAAAGGTCCAGATGGAAGTGATGGCCAACCAGGACTGGATGGCAGTCCCGGGCATCCTGACCTCCCGGACCACCTGGACGTCCAGGCGAACCGGGCATTTGTCCCAAGTATTGCGCTATTGATGGTGGGAATCTTTTTCGAAGATGGAACTCGTCGTTAGTATGAGTAATCTCTGTATAATAAGTTATTTCTTGCCAAACGCACTTTTATCTGTTGCGTTGACAATAAACATGGTGAAAGTGTACGGTCATCTTGGCTTTTATCTTCCGCAGAGAATTCTTGGAATGTCCCCGTACAACTCTCTGTTAAAAACGCGGATTTTGAAACCATCCATTCATTTTTACCATTCAATATGACGAGAGAATTTTGAAGAATATAACAAGAACATGGCGCGATCCACCTTCCCTCAATCAGCTCTTTTTGTCCGTTTCAGCCTTTCTGATATCACGTGATGTCAACAGCCAAAAGAATGATACTGAGTGCTCGAATCTGAAGGACCCACTAATGTACACATTTGATCCCCTGGTGAGGAACCACTCTGTAATTGATTGATCAAAAAGGAAGCTTAAGCCATGGCCAACGCCGCTTGTGACTAAGTTCAACATTTTTTACACCCCATCCCCCATTCCCCCTGAAGACCCTCCTATAGAGCTCCTGTAAACGGTCACGAATGGATAAAGACAATTGTCCATACATCATGATCATACCCACCGCTTAACAGCCTCCCCCACGCTTGCAACAGATTCCGTCTTAAAGACCACTGCTAATTCATAGAGTCGAGCAGGGATGGTGAGTGCGGGGAGGGGGGAGAGGGGAGTGGGTACGACCTCTCAACCCAGTAGCTACAATTGAGGCTCCTCGGTGGGTAATCCCTACGGAATCTGGCACAAAATGAGTGATGTTCCTCAAGCCTACAGTAAAGCACGGACGTCTCCATTTGTAGAAGAGTCCGGTTGCCAACTAACCTAAGTTAAATATATGATTTTGTGATCTTTATGAGACCAGATACAAGAGCTCGTTGCTCACGTCAGTTCATGTGCCGTTGTTGCATTGTTTAAAATTACTATAAATTTGCCGCGCAAAAATGGAAATTATTAAAACAGATGTTTTCATTTTGTGGCTATTAATTAGTTATACGCAGGTACTCTCGCCTTCAAATGACCAGAAATTGTGCAATTGCAGAAATTGACGTGGCATTAACGTGGCATCGATTCAAGAACATCTTTGAGCACACGTGATGTCACCTTTTCATCGAGAATTTAGCCACGTGTGCCAATGCCACGTCAATTTCTGCAATTGCACAATTTCTGGTCATTTGAACAAAGGCAAGGTATTCTCCTGTGAACTGCATCGTTATTGGGGTAAAACTGTCAGTATCTCCCAGATGGCAGGAGGTGATCCGGTATAGATTTATAACTTGGAATATGCTCGTGTGAGTTTAAAACATGAAAAAAAAACAGGCACTCCAATAACTTTGATAACTTTAGCATCTCAAACATAGTAAGTAGACGGAGCACATTAGTAACGAAAAATATACCAACATTAGTATTCAAGAGGCCAATTTAAGGACACCCGACCTAACTAAGGCATCCTTACCTCTTCTATCTGCGCAGTCGCTAGAACTACTATAATTACTATTTCACTCCCATGTGGCAGTTTCGAAAAAGAGCGGGTCACTATGGCCGTCGGCTAATATGGACACTAAAACTGCTAAGTAAACTTTGGTGTGAGACTTACAATCCATGTGGAAACACGGTTGCTTTTTGCCTGGAACTTGTTCTAAAAGGGTGAATGGGTGCTCTGACCCGTTTTTGACGCAGCGCCACGGCGACTGTTATTTCACCGGGTAAGCTCGCCTCAGTATCGTCTATTGCCAACTTTGAAGGCTGATAACTTTTTTGGATATGACAAAATCGAATACATTCATTCGGATTGATGGAAGGAAGGTAATACGACACTCGGGATAGCAACCTTAAAAAGTATCTTCCAGTTCGATGGAACATTCTATTCACAGAAGAGAGGTCTTGCTATGGGATTGAGAATATCGCCGCTACTGGCAATCGTCTATCTGGATCGTATCGAAAGAAGGTCTATGACCGAAGGATTGTGTTTTATAAGCGCTATACACTGCGTTTCATAATTATAGGTCCACCCTAAATTTTTGCTACCCCAAAGTTGCTGTGCATTTTTTGGAAATGCTGCTATCACCGTTAGATTCCTCATCACGGAAAACCTTCATAGTGTTTTTCTGACAAAATTCCCCCTCAAGTAACCCAATTAACTTTTTTAGAACGAATTTTCACCGTTTCATGAATATCGGGCCACTCATAAAAAGTTTCCATTTCTCGTGATCCGTGAAGGAAATCAGGGAAGCGGGGATATATGTGAGCTCAGTCGACATCGAGTTTACCATACCTCGTGTTACTCGCCTCTCTTCCCAGTAACAAGCTCAAGCCAGAGCACTTACTGAAGTGGGATGGCAAAGGAGCAAAATTTCCTCCCAAGCCGGCCGGCTCCTACGACCTAAGCAACTAAGTGCGAAATCCTGGTCAGTGCGGGGAGAAGAGTAGCTTAGGTAAATGAAGACCGCGTTTCCTTCAAGATTTAGGAGGAACTGGGCGTTTTCTCTCGAATTGTGTAAGGGGTCCGAACAAAGTTCGTGCTGAAATACGGCCTTCCGTGAGCAAAACCACCGTGTGGTGTGTACGTCAGCGAAGCAATACATCTTCAGCGGATTGATGAAGAGCGTTCCAAGATTATTTGAGCGCTTCAAGATCGCACGTCTCCATTTCAGCGTGGAAAAGGGCGCAACTTTATGAACGAAGGTTTGGCTGTTCAGACCCTTCGCGATCTTGGACTCTAGCTCCTTGTTTCGTGCTACAGGTGATCTGAGATCGACGTGAAAAAGTTTATTCTAGGTGGATCTGATAGAAAAAAAGCGTACGGGAGGGTTCCGTGGAAATCGTAGATGGTTTTGATGTAAGGTAATTTTGGCGAAGAATCCCTTATGGATTGAGGCTCTTTTGAACGACTGAGCGGCTAGAGCTCGTGTTTGTTTCCTTTCAAGAGGATTCCATAGGGTATCGTGAAGTTCTTCTGAAGCGACTGTTACCATCTTTCCGACAACAGCTCCCTCGAACCTTGATTTTTACGCACGATAACGCGGCTGTCCATGCCGGTCCTTCCACGCCAGATGGAATTGTGGGAAAAAATATGGCAGTTACCTGGTGGCCAACATGTTAGCTGAATCAGATTCCAATAGAGAATCATAAGGCCTTAATTGCTATAAAGTTCCACAGCAGAGAAAAGCAAAATGGAACAACCGAAGAGCTGAAAACGTCGATCATCAGCGCACAGACAAATTTCGATCCTACTGTAATAGCTAATTTGATTACCAGCATTCCAAAACGTATTATTGTGTTCCTTATGACTATGGGAGGACCATCCCATTGTTGAAAATTTGTGACGTTTTTTTGCTATAATAAAATCTCTCGAAAAGTGATCTGTAGTCATATTCGCGAAACGGTGAAAATACGCTCTAAAAAAGATTTAATTATTCTTAATCAAGATTTCTCCAAAAATCGAGTATCAAGGTTTTTCCTTATGGGGAAACTATTGGTAATAGCGGCATTTCCCAAAAATGCGCAGCAACTTTGGAATAGCAAAAATTTAGGGTGGACCTATATTTATGAAACGCAGTGTATATCAATGTCTTCGTTGTAGTTCAGAAGCT